CAAGATGCCAAGATCCCTTCCGCAGTTACTGCTATTAAGCCTGGTTTCAACCAGTCTGTATGTCTACTGCTGATTTTTCTTGCCTAAGTGTAAGACTTTATTTTTCTCTACACTGAATTTCATTTTGTTAGATAGGGCCCAGTGTTCAAGTCTGTCAAGATCTATCTGGATCTTGAGCCTCTCTTCTAGGTGTTAGCTATTCCTGCCAGCTTAGTATCATCTGCAAATTTGGTGAGTTCCCCTTCTATTCCCTCATCTAAGTCGTTTATGAAGATATTGAAGAGTACTGGGCCTAAGATGAAACCTTGTGGTACCCCACTACTTACTTCCCTCCATGTAGATGTAGACCCATTAAGGACTACTTGTTGAGTACAGCTTGTCAGCCAGTTACGAATCCATCTCGTGGTGATGCTATCTATTCCATTTTTCCAATTTACCAAGGAGTAGGTTGTGCTCTACTTTGTCAAATGCCTTGCTGAAGTCTAAGTATATTTTGTCCACATAATATTTTGTCTACCAGTATTTGGCTGGTCTACTAATTTAGTCACTATGTTGAAGAATGAAATAAGATTGGTTTGGCATGATCTGTTTTTAACAAACCCCTGCTGACAGCTAGTTATTACTTTACTTGTTTCTAGATGTTGGCAGATCTGTTTCTTATTATCTTTTCCAGAATCTTCCTGAGTATTGATGTTAGGCTGATTGGTCTGTAGTTTCCTGGGTCTGTTTTTTTTTTTCCCTTCCTTTTTTGAAGATGGGAACAATATCAGTTCTTTTCTAGTCCTCGGTAGTTCCCCGGTGCTCCAGGATTTTTGAAAGACATGGTACAGTGGTTCTAAAATGACATCTGGCAGCTCCTTCAGAACTCTGGGATATAATCCATCAGGTCCCAGTGATTTGTATTCATCAAGATCAGACAGGTGTTCTCTTACTATTTTTTTGCTTATTTTAATTTTTATTTCTAGTCTGTCTTTTACAGTTATGTTTTTGGTAGGTTGAGCTATAGTTTCTTTTTGTGTGAAGACTGATGCAAAGAATGAGTTAAGCAGCTCTGCTTTCTCTCTTTTGCCTGTTACTTCCTTGCCGTCTTCTCTCTTTAGTGGACCAACTGTTTCCTTGATTTTTTTTCTTGTTGTTTATATGTTGGAAGAAACTTTTTTTATTATCTTTGACTTTTGTTGCAAGTCTTTGTTTATTCTGAGCCTTTTCTTTCCTGATTTCATCTTTGCAGATTCTGATTATCTGCTGATATTCTGCCTTAGTTGTGTGTCCCTCTTTCCATTTTTTGAACTTGTCCTTTTTTTCTTCCAATTTCTCAGAGAGATCTTTGTGCAGCCATGCCGGTTTCTTCTTGGATTTCTTGTTTTTCTTTCTCATTGATATTGTGCTGGTTTGGACTTTTATAATCATATTTTTCAGAGTTTCCCAAGATTCTTGAGTTGTTTTGGGAAACTCTGAAAAATATTTACATTTAATACTTGTTACATATGATTTGTTGAAAAAGAAATTTGGCCTTTTTTCAACTTTATGTGGAAGCTGAAGTTTAGATATAAATACACCTAGGCAGCCCATTTAAGATTACTGAAAAATATTTTGAGCAATGACCAGAACTTGAAAATAAATTGATAATGTACATACATAAGTCCATCTTGAAGTCCTTGAGAAGGATGTTGACTGAAATCAATGGGGTCAGAAAATATCAAGCATACAGAAATAATGCCAGCAATGTTAACATCTCCAAGCTGATGATAGGTGTGATGAATAGGAAGAGGCTCATCAAGATGACATTGAAGGCTACGATGCTTGCACACCACTTGAGGCAATACTGTTAACAGCAACTCGATCACTGCACACAGCTTCCATAAATGTCCTCTTTCTGTGTGTAAATGGCAGCAACAAGATCCTCCTAGGAGATCATCCTGGACTGTCTTTTTCAGTTGTTTTTCAGAGAAAAGTAGAAATTGCAACATACTGTGAAATCAGCTCACACAGTACTTTTGAATGTGAATTTCATGGTGAATATTAATAATATTCTTCAGGGTCAGTTCCTCACTTTTCCAGAGTGTACCATGAGATTTGGGAGAGACAGACTGTCTAATTCCATAATGATGGTGAGACAGTCACCTGTGTAAAGATCATGCAAGGGCCTCTGGAGGGAGGAGGACCTAAGCCAGAAGACAAAGAATGGAAAACAAGATACAAATTTATTTAAATATATAAATAGGTATAGTCCATGATGGCTAACCTTTTTGTCATCACGTGCCAAAAGCGGGGGGAGTGTGGGGGAGTCATGTGCACATGCGTGCCCACACCCATAATTCTATGCTCCCCCGCACATGCACTCATGATGCTCCCGCACTCCCCCCACTTTTGGCACATAATGGCACTGTGGGCCCTGTAGGCCTGCTTTTTGCTTTCCCCAGGCTCCAGAGCCTTTTAGGAGCCTGTGGAGGGTGAAAACAGCCTTCCCCACCTCCCCCAGAGACCCTCTGGAGGCCGGAAACAGTGTGTTTCCTGACTTCCGGTGGGCCCAGAAGGCCCGAAAATCATCTGGCTGGAGCTGAGCTCACGTGCTCACCAATATGGCTCCGCGTGCCACTTGTGGCACCCATACCATAGGTTCGCCATCATGGGTATAGTCATTTATATAGTTGGATATTATAGTGTAGAAAGTCAGTACACACACAATCCCCCCTAGTAGAATGAGATATTTTGAAGGATATTAAAAAGGTAGAATATTATATTTCCCTAAATGAAAAATGGAGAAATGTTTTGGTTTTTTTTTAGAGGCAGGAAGCACACTCACACTTAATACCCCCACCATCACCACTCTGAAGCAGCTATTTTGTCCCCATTAAGGAAGACTGGGCCAGCCTATCTACAAAACAAAAGATCTTCAGCTCCAGGATGATGGAATTATCCTTCAGGATATAATAGGATTAACCCACTACCATTTAGCAAAAGACACAGAGCTCTCTACATTACACAATCTCCTAAGGGGTATTTCCTTCATTGCATTACCCCCAGCAAATTTCAACCAAATCTGGGAGCTCAGACAACCTACAGAGCCAGCTATGACCCCTATATAACCCCTACAACACCCAATAGAATACATGTCCTTGCAGAGGAACAGGAAGCTCAAGTGCAAAGCCCAAGAGAAGGTATAAAAAAACCCCACTCTCAACTCCATGTGATCAGCTGCCCAGAATCACCCATGTGGTTCTGCTTCATCATTAAACCATTTTTTCAACCAGCCTCCATGTTTCCAGTGTCTTTCTCCCAGCTTGAAACTGAACCAGATGGATATTTCTTCCAACAATAGATTCAATTCTATTCCATTCTAATTATTTTCTTGCATTTGAATCAGTGATGACTTCTGGTGCCTACTTGGATGGGTCCCTACAGTTTTCTTGGCAAACTTCTAGAAAAATCTCTATTTATTTCTTAGAGATGAGAGAGAACGGTTGGACCGGTCTCCCTAAGGCGGATTGTACCTTAGGCATGACTTATACTCATGGTCTCAATAGGCAGGGCCATAGTCAAAGAATAAGTAAAATACTTTGCACATTGGCAACAGAATTGGGAGTTAGTATCTCAGAATTTAGAATGTACACCTTTTAAGGCACAGTTGTCTTTGTATCTGCAACACTGTGCAGAACAAAACATTTAACATTTTGACTTTAAACATTCTAAATACATACAGTACCTAAATATCTAAATACATACATAAGTATTTAAATACATACAGTAGAGATGGTCTTCAACTTGCAACAGTTCATTTAATGAAGGTTTGAACTTATAAAGGCATTGAAAAAAGTGACCTATGACCATTTTTCACACTTATGACCATTGCAGCATCCCCATGGTCACATGATCAAAATTTGGACACTTAGTAACTGATGGATATTTATGACGGTTGCAATGTCCTGGGGTCTTGTGATCACCTTTTATGACTTTTTGACAAGCAAAGTCAATGGGGAAGCGAGATTAATTTAACAACCCTGTTACTAACTGTAACAACTGCAGTGATTCACTTAATAACTGTGGCAAGAAAAGTCATGAAATGGGGCAAAACTCATTTAACAGAATTGGGACTTATTTAGCAACAAAAATGTTGGACTTAATTGTGGTTGTAAGTTGAAGACTTCCTATAGTTCTTCCCCTTATGAAATAAATATCTTATGATTCTATTAGAGGCAGTTTTGGCTCACAAGAAAGGATCTGAAGAATGGAGTTTCAGAGAAGATGATAACTGGAAATAAATACCAAGATATTTAAAATCCGAGTTTTGCTCAGTTTGCTAGTTCTGAATTTTCCAGAAATGGGGATGTTTAACATAATGTTTGATTTATACAGTATGTGGTTGCATTATAGGGTTTCAGACTGGTAGTAGGTAGTGCCAATTCTTAGCCAAAATACACTGGTTTTGTCCTAACCAGAACTGCTGGATGGAAGGCATTAAAAGGGAACAGATATTAAAATGTTGCCACCCATATCAACACAAGGTTGATTTAATATGGTTTTTAACCATGTCTAGTCAGACTCACTTTGCATCTTCCTCCAATGCCAGATCAGACCTCAACCATCTAAAACAAAAAATAGGCCTACCCTGTCATGTCTCATATGAATTGGCTACTCAATAATTTAAGACAGAAAAATGCTTGCAATAGAGGCCTTCATTTTGTAAGGTTCCTCACATTCAATGGTATCAAATGACAACTTGGAATCCCCAATTAAATAAAATAAACCATAGATTTATTAAAATCAATAAAATTAAACACAGATTTAAAAAGAGTGATAGTAATTGTTGCATCATTCAGATTTTTCAATTTTGCCTCCCATTTTGAAGTATGGAACCAAGTTCATTTTTTGCTAAATAAAATTGTAAACTGGTCACAGACTTCAAAATTGGATTATTCTCCTACAAATACATACATACATACATACATACATACATACATACATACATATATATATATATATATATATATATATATATATTAAAATTTTCTTTTCATGAGCTGATGTTTATTGTTCAGTTCAGGTCTCATCATAATGATAAAACACTTGGGAAGAAAGATGCACACCAATAAACCAGCACTGGAGGAGACCATGGAAAAGATCTCCACAGCCAACATGTATTTTCCCCTAGTGCTTAGATAGGTTGGGATAAAGCACAGCCAAACACTGCAGAAGACCAACATGCTGAAGGTGATGAATTTGGCTTCATTGAAGCTGTCAGGTAACTTCCTAGCTAGAAAAGCAGCAGAGAAGCTAACCAGAGCAAGAAAACCCATAAAGCCCAAAACACAGCAGAACATAACAGAGTCTTCATTGCACTCCATGATGACTTCTTCAGACATTAACTTCATATCAAAATCTGGATATGGTGGGGATGTTATCAGCCACACAGCACAAACACATATTTGAACAAAGGAGCAGGAAATAATAATGTAGTTGACCATTCTTCCACCCACCCATTTCTTCAATCTGGAACCAGGTTTGGTGGCCATGAATGCTAGAACCACAACAAAGGTTTTGGCCAATACACAAGAAATTGCTACAGAAAAGATGAGGCCAAAAGCTGGTTGTCGAAGGAGACACAAAATCTTATCCGGTCTGCCAACAAATAGAAAGACACAAAGGAAAGAGAGGAGAAGGGAAACTAGGAGTGTATAAGAGAGATTTTGGTTGTTGGCTTTGACGATGGGAGTGTCTTTGTGTTTCATGAATATTGTGATGATCAAAGTTGTCATTAGAGAAAAGCAAAGGGAAAGAACAGTCAGAGTGATCCCCAAGGGTTCTTCATAGGACAAAAAAGTGATCTGTTTTAGAATGCACATATTTTTCTCAGGATTTGGATATTGATCTACAGGACATGGGAAGCAGTCATCCATATCTAAAAAAGAAGACAATGGAATTCATACAGTTGGTTTTAGACAGTGTTGTATCCCAATGTCTTAGTCCCATTATATTTGGAAATTTCCTACCTTTCTCCTTTGATATTTTTCCTTCTGGGCACAGCCAGCAATCATAGCAGCAAAATGACTCCCCTTCTTTCTTGGCCTTGCTGTGTCCTGTCTCACAAGGATCATTACACAAAGATAGAGGTAATGCCTGCCAATGAAAGATGAAGAATGTTTTAAGATATAGAAAGGAAAGAAATGCTTGGACTGAAACTGTTGAAGTAGAATTAACATAATAGAAATGAATTGATAAGCAAAAGTGATGGCACGCAGTGGTGGGTTGCCCCAGATTCACACTGGTTTTATAGAACTGGTAGAAAACCGATGGGAGGCTCCACCCACTGATCAAAAAGCTTCTGCGCACATGGGCCCGTTGTGAACCAGTAGTAAAGGTAAGTAGAACCCATCCCTGATGTCATGGCATCATTTTAGTTGTATTTGTTGTGAAATTATAGTTCATTAAATACTTACAATTATTGGCATTTTCCAAAATCATCTGACAGCGTTCCAAATAAACCCTCATTGGAATTCAGAACTCCGAGACAAAGTCCATCAAAGTAAGAATTTATTAGAGAATAAATTCTCTATGTTGACACATCTGGGGAAAACCCAAATCTGAAATTTCGCGTTTTCCCCCACCCACACTAAAACTCACACCCTGCCTGTCTAGTGACATTAACATCATATGACCCAATCAATCTCCTGCCTCAGCTGCTGCCAAACTTTGGTCACCTTGTTCCAGTTGCCAGCAACCCGTCCTTGATCTCATGTGAAATAATGTTGTTGTGACAATACTCCCTTTGCTAAGTTTCCGTTGCCACAGTTCGCCCATCCCCCGCTGTGGCAGCCCTATTAAGTCTGTCTAAAGATGGATCCAGGGCTGACACCATCCTCCCCTCTCTCCAAAGACATTTTCTATGCTGGTCAGTTAAAGTTAGTTTATCAACTTCTTAATTACGAACTGATGAAATGTAATACACTGTATTAAAGCTTTTACATCAAATCCATGAAAACCATAATCTATAATTCACAGAGTGCAGAGGGCACAAAGTAAAGGATAGAATATTCTATACCAAGTATTAGAGAAGTAAACATTCTTATAGATATGTTTTCCTTCCCCAGGACATTTGTTCTTAGGTTAGTTCAGAGATGATGCTCTGGAACAATCATCAATATATATTTTATGCTATATGAATGAAGACAGACCAATTTAGATTTAAACAACTAACCTGATTAAAGCCTACTGGCCACGTGATGGAATTTACAGAAATATTGAAGAATTTCTCTGGTGGAGCTGTGGGATCTATCATTCCAACTTTGACCCTAAAAAAGGACTGGTTTGGGAATGTGATCCAATTGATTATATCATATCCACCAATGAATTCTCCATTTTTATCAAAGGAGATCTTTTCACCAACACTGTTGTTGAATCTGACACTTCTCAGAAAAGAATGAACCTGAAACACAGAGACAGTCAAAGAGAGACAAAGAAAGACAGAAGGAGGCAATAATATATGTTCAAAGCATAACAATGATTCCAATAGTTGAGTAGATATAAAATATGACACCACTGAAAAAAATTAAAATGTTTTCACATAGATTGCACAATAAAATACTAACAAAAGTTTATCTATCATCTGAGTTATTGCAGTTAAAATCCATAAGTACAAAAGCAAGAGAATAGTAAGACAAAATGTAATGTCTTTACATTTACTATATGTACGTTACTTTTCAAAACAGGCAGCAATGATCATAAATTACAGTATATGAGGTTATGATGACCTAGACAAGTGACACCACACTTTATAATTGCATCACTTAGCAATGGATTTTCAGCCCCAATTGCCATCACTAAGTAAGGACTACCTGTAAAATGGACAGGAGAAAATAAAATCTAAAATTCATTTAAAAAATAATTTTAGAACAAAATATTCTAACTAAACTTCTAAGTTAAAGATGTTCAGCAGTGGAAATAGATGAGTGCTGAAATGTGTTCAAAGAGAGGCTGAACCAACATATTCTAAAGCAAAGGCTGGATTTGATGGCTTAGATGTGCATTTTGAATACTATGATTCTTTCATCTCATGTGACTACATATATCTGGCAAAAGGTCGGCTCAAAATACATATTCTTTGGGGGGGGAGTGCGGGAAGATCCCTTGCAGGGTTGTGCTGAGGATTTTGTGCAATTACTGCATGATAAAGTCGCTCGGATATGGGAAGGCTTGGACTCTGACTGGGTGAGTCCAGGGGGGGAGATGGGGGTAGATCTTGAGAATATTATCTGGGAGGAGTTTGATCCTATGGCTCCAGAGGATGTGGACAGGGTTCTGGGTAAGATTAGTGCTGCCACATGTTTATTGGACCCGTGTCCCTCCTGGTTGGTACTGGCCTCCCGGGAGGTTACACGTGGCTGGCTCCAAGGGATTATAAATGCTTCTTTGAGTGAGGGTGCCTTTCCCGCCGCCTTGAAAGAGGCGGTGGTGAGGCCCCTCCTCAAGAAGCCATCCCTGGACCCAGCTGAATTAGCCAAATACTGTCTGGTCTCCAACCTTCATTTTGTGGCGAAGGTTGTTGAGAGTGTGGTGGCACGACAGCTTCCCTGGTACCTGGATGAAGCTATCTATCTGGACCCGTACCAGTCGGGCTTCAGGCAGGGGTACAGCACAGAAACGGCATTGGTCGCATTGGTGGATGATCTCTGGAGGGCTCGGGACAGGGGTTGTTCCTCTGTCCTGGTCCTATTAGATCTCTCAGCGTCTTTTGATACCATCGACCATTGTATCATGCTGCAGCGGTTGAGGGGGTTAGGAATAGGGGGCACCATCCTGCGGTGGTTCTCCTCCTTCCTCTCCAACTGCTCACAGTTTGTGTTGGCAGGGGGGCAGAGGTCGACCTCGCGGCGCCTTGCTTGGGGAGTGCCGCAAGGGTCGGTCCTCTTGCCCCTTCTGTTCAACATTTATGTGAAGCCACTGGGAGAGATCATCCATGGTTTTGGGGTGAGAGTTCATCAGTATGCTGATGATACTCAGCTGTACATCTCAACTCCAGACCACCCCAATGATGCCCTTGATGTGATGTCTCGCTGCCTGGAGGCCGTGCGGGTCTGGATGGGGAGAAATAGGCTCAGGCTCAATCCTGCCAAGACCCAGTGGCTGTGGCTCCCGGTGTCCCGATATAGTCAGCTGGTACCATTTCTGACTATTGGGGGTGAATCTTTGCCCCCCACAGAGAGGGCTCGTAATCTGGGTATCCTCCTGGATGCACGGCTTTCTTTAGAAGAGCATATGACAGCTGTGGCCAGTGGGGCTTTTTATCAGGTTCGCCTGATTTGCCAGTTGCAGCCCTTTCTGGACCAGGATGCCTTGAGCACAGTCACTCACGCCCTAGTCACCACCTGGCTGGACTACTGTAATGCTCTCCACATGGGGCTCCCCTTGAAGAGCACTCGGAGGCTCCAACTAGTCCAGAATGTGGCTGCGCGGATGGTTATGGGTGCGACTCATTGTGCCCATGTGACACCTCTCCTGTGCGAGCTGCACTGGCTCCCAGTGGTCTTCCGGGTGCGATTCAAGGTGTTGGTCACCACCTTGGCTTAGGACCTGGGTACCTTCGAGTCGGTACCTTCGAGACCGACTTCTGCCACCAGTAGCCTCCCACCGGCCAGTCCGCTCCCACAGAGAGGGGCTCCTCAGGGTACCATTGGCCAAGGTATGTCGGCTGGTGACACCCAGGGGGAGGGCCTTCTCTGTGGGAGCTCCTGCCCTGTGGAATGAACTGCCCCTGGAATTGCGCAAGATCTCCGACTTCCGTGTATTTCGCTGTGCCCTCAAGACCCTGCTGTTCCTCCAGGCCAGGCTATCAATATAAATGATTTTAAATTGGGTGTTTTAAATTTTTGGGGTTTAATTTGGGCTGAAATTATTTAATAATTTTAATTATTTTTAATTGATGTCTGTATATTTTTGTGTTTTTAATAGGGTGTACACTGCCCTGAGTCCTTCGGGAGAAGGGAGGTATAGAAATAAAATAATAATTATTATTATTATTATTATTATTATTATTATTATTATTATTATTATTATTATTATTATTATTATTTTCTACTTTGGTCCAATTTTATTAAAGCCCTGAGAGATTTAAAAACAGTTTTATTCCCTCGCCATTTTATTTTAGAACTGAGTCCCTGGAAACATTAAACAAATTTTCTTTCTTCTCTGTTCATTTGTTAGAAACTATACACTGTTGTTGGGAATACCTTTGTGTAGAAATGCAGGTGAGTCTCAAATGGTGTGTGAAAAGGTGGAAATCCTACAAATGATCAAAAGGGAGCTTCTAGCATCCTGAATCTTTATTAAATAAGCATTTCACAATAACAAAATATCAGAATAAGAGTTGGAAGGTCTTCTAGTGCAACCTCCTGCCCAAGCAGGAAGCAAATGGTTGCGCAATCAGACAAATGGTTGTGCAATCTCTATTTAGAAGTCTCCATTGTTGGAGTACCCACAACTTCTGGGGGAAGTTGTTCTTGAGGAAGTTGTTCTACTCATCATTTTTTCTCACTGTGAGGAAATTCCTCCTTATTTCTAGAATGGTTCTCTCCTTGATTAGTTTCCATTCATTGCTTCTTGTCCTGCCTTAAGCTGGTTTGGAGAGTAGGTTGACCTCATCTTCTTTGTGGCAGCTCCTTAAATATTAGAACACTGCTATCATATCACCCCAATCCTTCTTTTCATTAAACTAGGCATATCCAATTCCTACAACTGTTTTAAAACATATGTTTTAGACTCCAGTCTAAAACTGGAGTCTAAATTACCTTTGCTGCTCTTGTTCTGCACTTTTTCTAGAGTCTCAACATCTTTTTTTTATATTGTGGTGATTAAAGCTGAATGCAATTATTATTATCAGCTCTTCATAGTCCACTAGTCCATAGTCCCAGGTTTGGTTGAATCTTGCTGGGTAATGTAATGAAGGGGTTTGGTTGTGCCATGGGATGAGCTCTGCTGATAGATTATCCTATTATGTCCTGGAGGGTGAAGTCTTTTGTCTTGTAGATAAATTGGCACCAAAATATCTGCTGGCGACAGGGAGCTGGGGCTGAGTTTCTGTTTCCTTTAAGATTTTTATTTCTCTTTTAGGGGAAATATTCTGCCTTTTTAATATTCATAATCCACTCATGGTTTATCTGAGAAGATCTTCATCAGGAAATGCTCTAAACCCATGATGGCGAACCTGTGGCATGCATGCCACAGGTGGCAAACAGTGCCCTCTCTGTGGGCACATGAGCCATCGCTTCAGTTCAGCGTTACTGTGCATGCATGCGTGTCTCCTGCTGGCCAGTTGGTCATCGGGTCTCTGCCGCGAATGCATGAGGGGCAGAGCGTATGCAGGAGGCCATGCATGCATGCACGTGTGTGTGTGTGCAAGGGCGTGCATGCATGTGCAGGGGCAGTGTGTGGGGGGCACATGTGCATGCATGGGGGTGGGGCACATGAAAGGGGCCAGCACACACATTGCATGGGGGTTCGAGCATGGACGCATTCCCACATGCATGCTTTGGGCACTCGGTCTGAAAAAGGTTAGCCAACACTGCTGTAAATCATGGGTGGGATTGTACTTTCAACAATCAAAGAACTGACTAAATGCAAACATCCCTCCTCCACTAAAGAAACATTTAGAAGAAACAACTGCTTCAGTACATCACATTAAGGCAAAATATCATTTTTCTACTCTTTACCTAGAGACTGACCTAATGGCAGAGTTCTTCATGGTTGTGGTTGTGGCAAGTGGTTATAATTTTATAAAATTACTTTTGCCATTTTAATATGAACATATAAATATTTCAGCTGGTTAAGCCATTACTATATTTCATCTGTAGACCAAATGTCAAAAGTCCTAGAGGATATTATGTGAGAGTTTATGGAGAGATTTGGTGGTTACTCCAATAGCAGTCTTACCTGCCACCACATATGATTGTGGAAATATTTCCTTCCTTCTTTCACTATTGTTTTTCTGGATTTGGATAGAGAGAAAGATTGTAAAGCATGTGCCACAGCATAGACTGCATTGTAAATATTGTAACTCTGTCCACTCATGCGTGTTTCAAACACAGATGTGGGAAGGGTCTCAAGCCTCTCCTGACCAGTACATTTCTTCTCAGATGTCTCAATTTTTGAGTTTGAGAAGAAACATTCGAATGCCTGTTCCCAAAAATCTTTCCGAAAATGATCATGTTGGTTGTTGTTTGAATTTAGGTTTTGAAAAAAATCCTGGAAGTTTTGGACCTCCTTTGTGTGAACTGCAAAAGATAAAACACCGTGTAGGAAATGGATATCCAAAGATTTATCAAAGGAGTTTGAAGAATAATCCGTCTGACTGGATGTAATCAAAATTTTTGTCTTTCTTGATATATCCTCCACTTCTGAAAACTGGAAGACACTTCTCAGAAACGATATGGAGCAAATTTCACCATACACGATTATCACATTGGCTGTGCTGTTCATGAGAACTTGGTATAAATATAGTCCTTTGTCTATGAAATCAGTAAAATCACTGTAAAAAGCTACATTTGGTAACTCTGCTATGAATTCAATGCAGATGCCATGTTCAGAAAATGTGGGGAGCACCTCTTGTACAAATCTCTCTCCTTTGTCATCCTTTACCACAAGAATTCCAATCCAGATCCATTTAAAATACAACAATAGTTTCAGGAGACCCTTATCTTCATGCAATTCATCCGGAAACATTTGTTGGAAGAAAATTGATTGGGTCTCTTTATCCTTGACTGGAGCAGAGCCATAGGTCAACTACAGAAAGATAAACATATGCAATTGCAAAGGTCTACATCAGCCTCTGGAAATGTGTACATTTATTTGAATCTTTGGTTAATCTTATTCTTATATACTGAAACATTATGCAACTAGTTGCGTTTAGTTAGGAATATCAACCAAGATGTCACTCTTAAGGTATCAGTAAATATATTTTCCTGGAAGTAATACTCCCACCGTCTATTCAGAATTACGCATTACTCAGTGCACCTCTTCTGATCCTATCAAGCAAAAAAATATATCTAGGAATCTGAAAATGTTCTCCTTTCTTGAGAGAGAAAACTACAGACTTTTGAGGTGGTATGGCAGAATAATAATGTAAAAAATAGTAGTAATAGTAGTAGTAGTAGTAGTAGTAGTAGTAGTAGTAGTAGTAGTAATAATAATAATAATAATAATAATAATAATAATAATAATAATAATATAAAGACCTTGACTATGTGTCAGAATGGTCAAACAATTGGCAACTCCAAATCTCAACCAAGAAATGCTCTGTCTTACACATTGGCAAAAAAAAGTCAGAACACAAAATTCAAGATGGGCAGATACGACCTTGTAGATGACCCTCACTCTGTCATGGACCTAGGAGTACTCATCTCAAACGATCTAGGCTCCAGAGCTCACTGTAACAGTATTGCCAAAAAGGTATTAAGAGTTCTTAACCTAATCTTGCATAGCTCCTTTTCCAGTAATATTGAACTGCAAACTAGGGCATACAAAACTTTTGCTAGACCAATTCTTGAATACAGCTCATCTGTCTGGAACCAGCATTGCATATTGGACATTAATACAATTGAATGAGTCCAGAGATATTTCACAAAAAGAGTCCTCCACTCCTCTGCTTGCAACAGAATACCTTATGCCACCAGACTTGAAATTTTGGGCTTAGACAATTTAGAACTTCGCCGTCTTTGGTCCGACCTAACCATAGTACATAAAATTATCTGCTACAATGTCCTACATGTCAATGAATACTTCAGCTTCAACCACAAAAATACATGAGCACACGATAGATACAAACGTATGATAAACTGCGCCAAACTTGATTGTAGAAAATACAACTTCAGTAACAGAGTTGTTAATGCCTACCTAACTTTGTGGTTTCATCCCCAAACCCCCAAAACTTTAACCTTAGTCTGTCTACTGTCTACCATTCCTAAGCGGTCTTTAAGGGGCATGCATAAGCGCATCAGCGTGCCTACCATCCCTGTCCTAATGTCCCCATTTATTCGTGTCCATTTATATGGACAGATTTATATTTATATCTGTTATGTAATACATGCTTGATGAAATCAATCAATTAAATAAATAAATAAATAAATAAATAAATAAATAAATAAATAAATAATATATCTTCAGCACCTCTTACCTGAGGAACTTTATAGATGCATAATAAAGTTGCCATGTGAAGAGAGATGTCAGGTGCTCCAATAACTGCAGCCAAATTTTGAGGGACGCCACACTTATAGTTAGGGATAAATTTTCCCTGAGTGAAAGGCAGCAACATTGAGGCAAAGTAAGTCCATCCGGGACTAAAATTGCTGTTAAAAATGTGGAAACCCAGAGTGATGTTGGGCAGGATCTGAGGATTTTCATTGATCTCTTTTACAGAAAATGCTAAGGCCAGGACAAGCTGGTAATTCTGAAAAACTATTCTGTAAAACATTTTTTTAAAAAATACATTAAGAAAACTCTACTTCACATTATGACACTTATGATTTTTCAGTACAATTTTTTGTGGAATATGTTTAAGTGCAATGTACAGGTAGTCCTTGACTTACAACCGTTTATTTAGTGACCATTCAAAGTTACAACAGCACTGAAAAAAGTGACTTAGGACAATTTTTCACCATCCCCATGGCCATCCCCATGGCCATGTGTTCAAAATTCAGACACTTAGCAAGTGACTCACATTTATGACAGTTGCAGTGTTCCAAGATCATGTGATCAGCTTTTGTGACCTTCTGACCAGCAAAGTCAATGTGGAAGCCAGATTCACTTAACAACCATGTCACTAACTTAACGACTGCAGGAAGTCACTCAAGAAAGATCATAAACTGGGGCAAAGCTTACTCAACAAATGTCTCACTGAGCAACAGAAATTTTGGGCTCAATTTTGGTCAGAAGTTGAGGACTACCTGTATTTAGTATTCTGTTCAGATTCTCAAAAATGCAGACCAAAATATTAGCATGTTTATACACATGTTTATACACCTCCAGAACCTGGAATGATTTTTTTTTAAAAAAATTGGTTTGCGATTGGACACATGAATAAATGAGAAAGGCTCAGTATCAAACTTCATCTGTTAAGAATGCTTTATATCAAGAAGAAAAATGCTGAATTGTGATTCTAGAAATATCAAATGAAAAAAGTATGTGCTTCCACCTAGATTTTAGTGGTAGATCTTCATGAATTTACCCTTATCTACCTCAATATTTACTTTTAAAGCTTGTTACATATGATTTGTTGGAATAGAATTCTTTTTTCAAATTTATGTGGAAGCTTATAAATAAATCTAGGCAGCCTATTTAAGACTACTGGAAAATATTTTTTGCAGTGACCAGAACTTGAAAATAAATTGATCATGTACTTGCATAAGTCTATCTTGAAGTCCCTGAGAAGGATGTTGGCTGAAATCAATGGGGTCAGAAAATATCAAGCATTCAGAAATAATGCCAGCAATGTTAACATCTCCAGGCTGATGATAGGTGTGATGAATAGGAAGAGGCTCATCAAGATGACATTGAAGGCTAGGATCCTTGCACGCCATTTGAGGCAATACTGTTAACAGTGACTCCATGATTGCTAACAGCTTCCATAAATGTCCTCTTTCTGTGTATAAATGGCAGCAACAAGATCCTGTTTCTAGGAGATCATCCTGGACTGACTTTTTCAGCTGTTTTTCAGAGAAAAGTAGAAATTGCAACATACTGTCAAATCAACTCATAGAGGACTTTTGAGTGTGTATTTCATGGTGAATATTAACAATATCCTTCAGGGTCAGTTCCTCATTTTTCCATAGTGTCCCAGGAGATTTGGAAGAGACAAACTGCCTAATTCCATAATGATGGTAAGACAGTCACCTGTGTAAAGATAATGTGAGGGCCTCTGGAGGGAGACAGGCCTAAGCCAGAAGATAAAGAATGAAAAACAAGATATGAGTTTATATAAATATATAAATGGGTATAGGCATTTACTGTATGTAGATCTGGGATTCTCAAACTTTTTAAACAGGAGGCCAATTCACAGTCCCTCAGACTGTGGGGGGAGGTGGACTATAGTTTGATTTTCCTAATGACCAGCTGTGTGGGTGTGGCTAAGTGATCATGTGAGTGGGTGGGCCCACCTGGGTGGGTCATGTGCCCTCCCCTGCCATTGACCTTACTTTCTACCATGTTTTCCCCAAAATAAGACCCTGTCTTATATTTTTTTGCCACGGAAAAAGGCACCAAGTCTTATTTTTAAGGGGTCTCTTCCATTAACTCACCACTCAGTGGCGTCATCAACAGCCCCATCTAGCAGGAGCCCGCTGTTGGCCCATTTGCTCCTTGGCCACTTGTTACCCCCAGCATCCATTTTAATGGTAGAGGCTTTCAGGAATGGCCTCTGCAGCCAAGAAGTGGGCTCTGGATTGATCCATGTGTCACCCACGGCCTTCATTTCACCATCAGAGGCCCTTCAGGAAAGGCCTCTGCAGCTGATGATAGAGTCCAGATTGATCCCAAAGGCGACATGCACAAGTGGGAGCAAATGACTTTAGAAGTGGGCTGGCAAGGCAGGTGTTGGGGTATTCAAGGCCTGGTAAGTAATTTTTACCAACGCGCCTCGCCCCATCCTGTGCATCTCATAATGGGTGGGGCTTAACTAGGGCTTATTTTTGGGGTAAGGTTTACATTAGGCGCACATGGAAAATCAAGCTAGGCCTTACTTTCGGGGTGGGTCATATTTTTGGGAATACAGTAGTTCCAAGTTGAAAGGCTCATGAAGGTAAGGCCTGTGCTCGGCTGCTGGGCAGGGGCTGGCGGGTAGGCAGGGCGATGTGATCTCGCACAGGCTGGATTAATTGCTTCAGTGGGCTGTTGTTTGAGGACCCTTTGCTATAGATGGATACTATTGATTCCATTCCATTCTAATTATTTTGATGCATTTTGAATCAGTGATGACTTCTGGAGCCTACCTGGATGAGTCCCTACAGTTTTCTTGGCAAATTGATTAGGAAAGTATTTACTTCTTAGGGATGAGAGAGTGATTGGACCAGCTCCCTGAGGTGGTTTGTACCTTAGGCATGACTCATACTCATGGTCACAATAGGCAGAGCCATAATCAAGCAATAAGTAACATACGTTGCACGTTGGCAACAGAATTGGTACTCAGAGTCAGTATCTTAGAATTTAAAATGTACAGCTTTTAAGGCACAGTTGTCTTTGTATCTGCAACACCGTGCAGAAGAAAACATTTAACATTTTTAATATAAAGTTTATTGTCATTGTACCTATATACACAGTATACCCATACAACGAAATTCACATAACATCCAGAGACCAAGCCCAACACATATGACAATCCTCAGACACAACCCCACCCATCAAAACTTCCCCATCCCTGAACCACCCAAACATCCACACAGCAGACCAAGTAATGCTGTCCAACAGCTCACTGATGGTGCCCCTTTAGTTCATTGTTGAGTGCAATTATAGCTCTTTTGACTTTAAACATTCTAAATGTGTCTGGAACATACAGTAGAGGTAGTCCTCAACTTACAACAGTTCATTTAATGAAGGTTTGATGTTACAACGGCATTGAAAAAAGTGGCCTATGACTGATTTTCACACTTATGACCATTGGTCATATGATCAAAATTACTAAAACACTTAGTAACTGATTGATATTTATGATCGTTGCAGTTTCCCGGGGTCATGTGATCATCTTTTACGACTTTCTGACAAGCAAAGTCAATGGGGAAGTGAGATTCATTTAAAGCTGTTACCAACGAACAACTGCAGTGATTTACTTAATAACTGTGGCAAGAAAAGTCGTGAAATGGGGCAAAACAGTTAACAGAATTCTGTTAAGTGTTAACAGAACACTTAATAGAATTGGGACTTATTTAGCAACAAAAAATGTTGGGCTTAATTGTGGCCATAAGTCAAAGACTACCTGTAGTTCTTCCCCTTATGAATCAAATATCTTATGATTCTATCAGAGGCTGTTTGGGCTCATAAGGAAAGATCTGAAGAATGGAGTTTCACAGAAGATGATGACCAAAAATAAATACCAAGATATTTAAAACCCTAGATTTGCTCAGTTTGATAGCTGTGGATCTTCCAGAAATGGTTGTCAGGTCTCTGCCATGCTTGCGTGGCAGGTGGGGCATGTATGGGGGTGGGCGTGCATGCACAGGGCATGTGTGGGGTGCATGCAGGGGGCATGCATCATGGGGGGCAGAGTGCATGCGGGGGCACACATGCATGCGCAAGGGGCAGGGGGCATGTGGGGGCCATGCACGCATGTGGGGGTGGGGCGCATGCATGGGGCCCACACACGCATTGCATTTTGGGGGTTCAGGCACGTGCCCTTTGGGCACTTGGTCCAGAAAAGGTTAGCCATCACTGTTCTATACAATCAATATGATCTTCTTCATTTAACAGAAGCCAGACTTGGACTCTCTTGGTTACCAGACGTTTGACGTTCATCAAACAGCTCTGGAACTCTTAAATTATCACAGCTTTCCCTAGTTGCACAATTACAAAAGGTGGTTAGAGCCAGGCACTGTAGCCTCAATCTACAGGTGAAACTTGAAAAATTAGAATATCGTGCAAAAGTTCATTTATTTCAGTAATGCAACTTAAAAGGTGAAACTAATATATGAGATAGACTCATTACATGCAAAGCGAGATAGTTCAAGCTTTGATTTGTCATAATTTTGATGATTATGGCTTATAGCTCATGAAAACCCCAAATTCACAATCTCAGAAAATTAGAATATTTTTTTTAATTTGATTTATATGCTGCCCTTCTCCGGAGACTCAGGGCGGCTTACAATGCGTTAAGCAATATTGTGAAAAGGTTCAATATTCTAGGCTCAAGGTGTCCCACTCTAATCAGCTAATTAAGCCATAACACCTGCAAACGGTTCCTGAGCCTTTAAATGGTCTCTCAGTCTGGTTCAGTAGGAATCACAATCATGTGAAAGACTACTGACCTGACAGTTGTGCAGAAAACCATCATTGACACCCTCCATAAGGAGGGAAAGCCTCAAAAGGTAATTGCAAAAGAAGTTGGATGTTCCCAAAGTGCTGTATCAAAGCACATCAATAGAAAGTTATTTGGAAGGGAAAAGTGTGGAAGAAAAAGGTGCACAAGCAGCAGCGATGACCGCAGCCTGGAGAGGATTGTCAGGAAAAGGCCATTCAAAAGTGTTGGGGACTTTCACATGGAATGGACTGAGGCTGGAGTCAGTGCATCAAGAGCCACCACACACAGACGAATCCTGGACATGGGCTTCAAATGTCGTATTCCTCTTGTCAAGCCACTCCTGAACAACAAACAACATCAGAAGGTCTTACCTGGGCTAAAGACAAAAAGAACTGGTCTGTTGCTCAGTGGTCCAAAGTCCGCTTTTCTGATGAGAGCAACTTTTGCATCTCATTTGGAAACCAAGGACCCAGAGTCTGGAGGAAGAATGGAGAGGCACTCACTGCAAGATGCTTGAAGTCTAGTGTGAAGTTTCCACAGTCTGTGTTGATTTGGGGAGCCATGTCATCTGCTGGTGTTGGTCCACTGTGCTTCATTAAGTCCAGGGTCAATGCAGCCATCTACCAGGAGATTTTGGAGCACTTCATGCTTCCTTCCGTGGACAAGCTTTATGGGGATGTTGACGTTATTTTCCAGCAGGACTTGGCACCTGCCCACACTGCCAAAAGTACCAAAACCTGGTATTATTGTGGGATTATTGTGCTTGATTAGCCAGCAAACTCGCCTGACCTGAACCCCATAGAGAATCTATGGGGCATTGTCAAGAGAAAGATGAGACACATGAGACAGAACAATGCAGAAGAGCTGAAGGCTGCTATTGAAGCATGCTGGTCTTCCATAACACCTCAGCAGTGCCACAGGCTGATAGCATCAATGCCATGCTGCATTGAGGCAGTAATTGATGCAAAAGGGGCCCAAACCAAGTACTGAGTACATATGCATGCTTATACTTTTCAAAAGTCCGATATTGTTCTATGTACAATCCTTGTTTTATTGATTTCATGTAATATTCTAATTTTCTGAGATTGTGAATTTGGGGTTTTCATGAGCTGTAAGCCATAATCATCAGAAGTATGACAAATCAAGGCTTGAACTATCTCGCTTTGCATGTAATGAGTCTATCTCATTACATCAGAGCCTAGATAGCTCTGCAGACAAGGCACTGTAATTTAACACCAACTGTCTGCAATTAAAGTAAGTTCGAATCTTGCCAGGCTCAAGGTTGACTCAGCCTTCCATCCTTTCTAAGGTAGGTAAATTGAGGACCCAGTTTGTGGGGGAAATAAGCTGACTTTGTATAAATATATATAAAAGTATGAAGGCTATTGCTTAACACACTGTAAGTCACCCTGAGTGTCCGGAGAAGGGCGGCATATAAATCAAATAAAAATAAAAAAATAAAAATAAAATAAAATCTCATATATTAGTTTCACCTTTTAAGTTGCATTACTGAAATAAATGAACTTTTGCACGATATTCTAATTTTTCAAGTTTCACCTGTATTTAAATCTCATTTTGATCAGTGAAAAAGTTGATAGAATGAACATCAACATTTAGAGGAACCAGAATGCTCTCATCATCTGGTACGTAGAGTTACTGTGTGTCTCTCATTCAAGTGCTATCATACACTATGTATTCAAACAGATCATTCCAGATCATGGAAAGACTGTTCTGTAGAGTGATTTATAAGAGTGAAATCCTAGAAAGAGACCATTATGCAAATTGGATGTTAACATGTATTGGGTCTTCTAAATTTATTTTGATTTGCGAGTATTATTTTTTGGCTGGAGATTTCATTGTTCTTTGCTACTGAGGAGAAAACATAGAGCAGTGATGGCTAACCTTTTCCAGACTGGGTGCCCAAAGCTCACGTACATGCACCCGAACCCCCAAAATGCAATGTGTGTGTGGCCCCTGCACATGCATCCTGCCCTCCGCATGCAGGTGTGGCCCCCCGCAGGCGCCCCACCCCCCGCACATGTGCGGCAAAGACTCAAAACCAGCTGGCCGGTGGGAGGCACATGCACATGTGTGGCAGACTTGGGCAACGGCTTGGGCAACGGCTCGCATGCCCACAGAGAGGGTGCTGCGTGCCACCACTGGCACGCGTGCCATAGGTTTGCCATCTCGGACATAGGGGCAACTGGAAAGAAACTTTTGAATTTACCACACTTTTTGTTAGTGACCATTGCACATAATGTACAAAGACAGTTCCTAGTGTCTGATTGCTTCAGAAACAATTTATAGTCACTCCCTATTTGAATGAAAGGCTCCTTTATATTTAATCTCCACTTCCTTTTTACACATTCTAGTGTGAACATGATTTGAGATGACTAGTAAAGACAAATTTGTAATTCACACAAAATCTATATATTTGGTGAAAGACTGTTACACACAGAAAAATA